AGTCTCGCAGAAGGCGAGAGGAGAACTCCCCACCTCGGTCAGAGTGCAGACGCAGAACAGGAAAGTCCGAGCCGAAGCTCCTCCTGAGCTGGAGACGAGCCTCGCGGATCCAGTCGATCAGCACCTCAGTGACAGCACCCTTGCTGCGCAAGGGGAAGACTGTGGTGTAACGCGAGTAGTCGTCAACCACCAACAGGAAGTAGCGCTCGTGACCCTGCCCACGGACGGGGGCCGGGCCCCACACGTCCATGTGAAGTGTCTGCAGAGGAGCCTCTGTCGGGGGAAAGTGGGAGGAGTGAGGAGCAGCCCTGAGGCGCCCCTCGACACAAGGGACACAGGAAGGTCCTGGTCCCGAAGGAAGGGGAGGGAGAGACTGGGGAAGACCAGAGACAAGGACACGGGAAGCCATGCCCCGAAGACGGGGCAGGGAGGGGTGGCCAAGACGGTGGTGCCACAGGAGAGTCTCGTGAGACAGGAGGCGACACGAACAGGGGGCAGACTCAGGGCCAGACCAGGACGCAGCAGCGAACACCTGACCTGACGCAGCTACCTGACCAGACGCAGGGACAGGAGGAGACTCAGTGGTCAGGGTGTAGAGGCTCAACCCCGGCCGACGAGAGAACGTGGCCAGGTGCCGGCCTGTTCGTGCGTCCGTGCAGTGGGTCACCCGCTGACTCGCAGGAGTGAACTGGTGAACCCCCGCATCCTGCAGGTCCGCACCACTCACCAAGTTCGTCGAGAACGAGGGAAGGTACAGACCAGACAGGGTGCCCGAGGGGGCAGCCGGACACGGGAGGACAGTGGAGAAGTGAGCAAGGACAGGGCCCCCAGAGGGGTCTGCCAGAGAGACTGCAACCGGCCGACCAAGCGGCGTGAGTGTGGTGCGGTCTCGAAAGAAGGAGCGAGAAGCTCCGGAGTCAAGTGTGAAAGTGAGGGAGGCCGAAGCCGACGCAGTACCTGAGAGCGCAGCCTCACCAGTAACTGAGAGCGCAGACGCACTGGCACCTAGAGCAGCAGTCTCACAAGCACCGAGCGCAGCAGTACCAATGCCCGGGTCGGGCGGGAAACACCGGTAACAGTCACCCTCCTCACTAATAGTCACAGCATACATAGCAGCAAGGATAGCATCAAAGTCAAGATCAAAGATAGCTACACAAGCCCTATACAGCTCTCCCCTGCGGGGGATCTCACTAGCCTCGGGGAACTGCTGACGCCAAGCGTCCGTCAGGCGGCCAAAGCAGCGCTGGGTGGGGTGGGCACCCCCACACTGCTCACCCGCGCGGTCGCCGGAACGAAGGACGTAGGTGCACGGACCAGTACCCCCACCCCGCTGACGCTGCGTGTACCACTCACGGAGCTGCTGGGGCGGAGGGATGTCCCGCGAACGCTGCTGCTGCTGCTGCTGGCGCTGACCACTCCCAGAGCCGCTCCGCTGCGGGGTACCACCCCGACCAGCTCCATCCCCTCCGCCACCACCGCCTCCTCCTCCGCCTCCTCCGCCGCCTCCACCTCCACCGCTACCGCCACCACCGCCGCCTCCTCCGCCGCTGCCACCACCACCACCGCCGCCGCCACCACTCCCTCCGCCGCCTCCACCGCCACCTCCACCGCCCCCTCCAGCTCCACTCGCGCCCTTGCCCCCCTTGCCCTTGCCAGAGCGGCGTCTCCCACTAGGGGCAGACGCCGCGCCGACCGACTCAAGACCAAGCAGGTCGGCAGCAGCAGCAGAGGCAACAGAGGGCAGCAGGGGGGAAGGAGAGCACCCCTCAAAGATGGGAGTGCGAGGGTCACCCCGAGAAGCTCCTACAGCGACGATGCTTTTCTCCGCCGCTAGGAGGGCCTTCTCGAGGAGGTCGACAGTGAGGGTGGTGGGACAGACTGAGAGAAAGTGGTCCCTGACTACGCGAAGAGAGTCAGGGAGGCGAGCGACAACGTAGTAGAGAGTGATGTACATGGGGGGGGGTTCTTGGCGCAGAACTCAGCAGGAAGGGCGGCGCGGTAGCGGGTGTCACTAGTGCGGAGGTGCGTAATGAGGTCAGCGTCAGTGGGAAAGACAGTGAGGTCAGGAAAGAGGTACGGAAGCATGAGACGGCTAAGTGCAGCAGTGGCAGGGGAAGAGTAGCGCGCAACTACAGCGTCGTACAAGGTCTGAGCACTCTTGTACTGGCTGCGCGCGCTCAGTGGTAGGGAGGTGGCGACGCACAGCAAGACGTGCAGCAGCATCGCGGGTGGCCCACTGAGAGCGAACAGTGGGGTCAGCATCAGCAGCAGGGGCATGCGAGGCGCCAGAGGTGAGGTCAAAGAGAGAAAGACCGTCTGCCATATCGCACTGTAAGAACAGCTGGAGGTCATCGACCCAGACCTCAAAGTCTATGGCTCGACCCTCAGCATCAAAAGCGAGGACACTAGGGGTAGCCATAGCGACAGACTAGCAGTGCAAGCAGTGGGGAAGGGCACGCAGTAGCAGTGGGGCAGTGCCGTGCTCACCAGAAAAGGGCAGGTCGGGCGGTCCGGTTCGTGGGCGGCTCGGCTGCTGTGGGGCGGCTCGGCAGCTCCTGGGCGGCTCGGCGGCTGCGGGGCGGCTCGGCAGCTCCCAGGCGGCTCGGCTGCTGCTGGGCGGCTCGGCTGCTGCTGGGCGGCTCGGCTGCTGCTGGGCGGCTCGGCAACGGGGCGGCTCAGCTGCTGCAGTGCTGGGGCGGCGGGGCCGCGAGAGCAGGGACGGCGGGGCCGTGAACGCTGGGGCGGCGGGGCCGCGAGATCAGGGGCGGCGGGGCCGTAGGCGCTGGGGCGGCGGGGCCGCGAGATCAGGGGCAGCGGGGCCGCGAAATCAGGGGCAGCGGGGCCGCTGGAGCAGGGGCGGCAGGGCCGCGAGAGTAGGTGGCGGCGGGGCCGCGAGAGAAGGGGCGGCGAGGGCCGCGAAAGCAGGGGCGGTGAGGGCCGCGAAAGTAGAGGCCACGGGGCCGCGAAAGCAGGGGCGGCAGGGCTGCGAGAGCAGAGGCCGCGGGGCCGCGACAGCAGGGGCGGCGGGACCGCGGGAGTAGGGGCCGCGGGGCCGCGACAGCAGGGGCGACGGGGCCGCGCGAGCAGGGGCCGCGGGGCCGCGACAGCAGGGGCGGCGGGGCCGCGTGATCAGGGGCGACGGGGCCGCTTGAGCAGGGGCCGCGGGGCCGCGACAGCAGGGGCGACGGGGCCGCGCGAGCAGGGGCCGCGGGGCCGCGACAGCAGGGGTGGCGGGGCCGCGGGAGCAGGGGCCGCGGGGCCGCGACAGCAGGGGCGACGGGGCCGCGCGAGCAGGGGCCGCGGGGCCGCGACAGCAGGGGCGGCGGGGCCGCGTGATCAGGGGCGACGGGGCCGCGATGTGAGGGCGGCTGGGCCGCTAGGGGAGGGAGGGCCCGAGGCGCGACTCGGGATGGGCGCGCTCCGGGCAGTAAAAAAAAAATCGAACTAGCGGTGGGCCCTAGGTGCAGTTCCCACAGTGGAACCTGCTTGATACCATGAGAAAGTTTGAATGAGAATGAATGAACTATGAGTGAAGTGAGTACAAATATCAAACCCTAATTGGGTTGTACCCCCTATGGGATACCCCACTATAGCCTACACAACAGCATAAGCTAAATAATGTTCTGACACTACGCTCTATAGTGTCAACTCAACTTACGGACTTGTCAGAGTAAGGAGTATTTATCAAGCCTATGGACGTGATAAATGGAACACCAAATGGCATGATTGTTCGTATTCACAATCGTTGGTATTTGATTTACAGTAGAGTGATTACGCGCCAGTAGTTTATTGCTGTAGAATATTATCATAACACCATTTCTACTCGATAGTGTACCTACTCACTACCATCATTTACCTGTTAGAGTAGTGTATAGTATCGTGACTGATTGTGTGATGCTAAAGTAGAAGTACCTCTCTATGAAGCGACTCAATAAGGCAAATAACAGATCCATACTACCAGATAATTACAATATATTATAGAAATATGCTTGTAATTCATTGCTATAATCAAAATTTGGTCTAAAAAACTAGTACAGGGTTTCAAAAGTCCAGATTATCGTTGTTGAATCTTTGCCCTTGCCTGCTTGGCTCTCCACTTCAGGAACACTGCCCATGTATCTTCCTGGATAGAAACTCAAGCAACGCTTTCTTCTCACATCCTCTCACTTTGGTCTTTCCCGTCTTCCCTTCACAAACCCTCACATACCCCCTCATGCTGCTGCTTTTCCCTACGCTTCTGCTTCTGCTTTTGTTTCGGTTGCCTCTCCCCTCACTAAATGCTCATGTGTCCCTTCAAACAGAGGCTCGTCTGCATGCAGCAGCATGGCAGCATCGGCAACAGCATGTCAGCACTGGCTGCACTCACTTTGATTGCCACGTCACGTGCTGCCTCTGCCTCTGCACCTCCTGCCCCATCTGCTGCTCTCGCCTTACTTACAGCTGCGAAGTATGTTCAAAGAGAGTTTGGTGTTGCCTGCAACAGCACAGCAGCACTGGCTGCACTCTCATCAATCGCCACGTCTCCTGCCGCCACCGCGGCCACCACTGCTGATGTGATGAAACAGGCATGTATGAAGCAGTTATACCTGATGCAGGTTCATCTGATGATGGTACATATGATACAGCTACAGCAGGAGCAGTCACTACAGCTGGCAGCGATGGTTCAACAAATCCTCTTTCAGCTGCTGATGCCATTTCTTCCCCCTGCTATCTCTGCTTCCCCCTCACTCCCCCCTTCGCCTTTCCTCTGCCCATTCTCCTCCACATCATTTTCATCCCTACGACTTCCCTCCTCACTCTCTTCTTCCCTCTCCCTTCCAAATTTAATCCCTTGTCTCACTCCCAGCTCTCTCTCTCACTTCCTCCTCTCCCTCCTCTCCCTTCCCCTCCACCGGCCTACCCTCCATTATTTCTCCTCCTTCCTGCCCTACTCCTACTTCCCTATTGCAATTTCCCTCCACCCGCGCTCTATCCTCCTGCATCCTATCACTATCACCTTCTTAAGTATTTCCTCCCTTCACCCCTGCACTCTCCTTCGCCCCTCCTTGTACCTCGACCCCTCGTTGCCCCTCCACCTCGCCCTCCCCCTCCACCTCGCCCTCCCCCTCCACCTCATCCCCCCCTTGCACCTTTCCACCCTCCTCTGCCTGTCTTGGTTGCTGCCTAACTCCCACATCCCCGATGCACCTTCCCTCCTCTGGCTCTCTCTGTTGCTCCTCCCCTTCACTCCTATTCCCCCCCTCCAACTCTCCTTCCTTCATCCCTATTCTCCGCGTTGCATCTCCTCCTTCCCCTATCTCTCTCCCCTTCTCTCCCTGTCTTTTGTCCTCCTCTCTCCCATCCTCCTCCTCTCTCCCATCCTCCTCCTCTCTCCCATCCTCCTCTATTTCATCCTCCCCCTCTGTTTCATCCTCCTTTCTTTCATCCTCCTCCTCTCCTGCATCCTCCTCCTCTCTTATATCCTCCTCCTCTCTTTCATCCTCCTCCTCTCTTTCACCCTCCACCTCTCTGCCATCCTCCTCCACTCTCCCACTATCCACCACTCTCCCTTTCGGCCCATCCTCTCCCTTCCCCCCTTCTCTCCCCTCCTCACTCAAATACTGTTTCACCTCCTCTTCCTCCACAGAAGGTAGATCAGAATCAAATGATGACCTAGACTGTCGATCTCGCCGCCTACTGTCAAGCTTCCTCAAAGCACCCCATCCTGCGACTGCTCTTTGCCATCCTCCTCCCCCTTGCAAACCCCTTCCTAATCCTCCTTCCACTTCCGATCCTCCTCCTGCATTCAATGCGCTCCCCTCTTCCAATGCCCTTCTCTCTACCGCTCGCCCACTCGAAGTCTCTCCTTCCTCCAAACCACTAAGCACAACTAGGTTCTGTGAACATTCAAATGAAGTTTTACCTGAATCTTCACCTGAATCATCAGTCCTCAGCTTCTCCTCTCCCTCATTACCGCCCCACCAGATGGCCGTGTTGCTGCTACCACACTTGTTATTGTCACTCTCATCATCCTCTTCAATGCCAGCCTTATTGTTACTCCTCCTCCTCCTCCTCCTCCTCCTCCTCCTCCTCCTCCTCCTCCTCCTCCTCCTCCTCCTCCTCCTCCTCCTCCTCCTCCTCCTCCTCCTCCTCCTCCTCCTCCTCCTCCTCCTCCTCCTCCTCCTCCTCCTCCTCCTCCTCATCATCATCATATCTCCGTACAAGCTTTGCAAACCCAACAGCACCAATCTCCACCTCCCCCAGATAAGACCTCCCCAGGCTCGGAAGCACCCCAAATCCAGATCCCACCTCCCCTGGAGAAGACCTTCCCAGGTTTTGAAGCAGCTGAGAAACAGGTCCCACCTCCCCTGAATAGGACCTTCTCAGGCTTTGAAGCGGCTGAGAACCAGGTTCCACCTCCCCTGAATAGGACCTTCTCATGCTTTGAAGCGGCTGAGAACCAGGTTCCACCTCCTCTGAATAGGACCTTCTCATGCTTTGAAGCGGCTGAGAACCAGGTTCCACCTCCTCTGAATAGGACCTTCTCAGGCTTTGAAGCGGCTGAGAACCAGGTTCCACCTCCCCTGAATAGGACCTTCTCAGGCTTTGAGGCGGCGGAGAACCAGGTTCCACCTCCGTTGAATAGGACCTTCTCAGGCTTTGTGGCTGCAAAAGCGACTCTGAAGCACTCTCCAGGTCCCGAGAGCGTGAACTTCCAACCTCCCTTGCTCCCACGTCTGGAGTCAAACCAACCTCAATCACTCCCTTCTGGCCCACACTCTTGCTTCTCACCACTCTTCCCCCCTCGCGGGCCATGGGAACAAGCACTGTCTCTTCAGCAGGCGCCGCTTTACGACTGAAAACACTGGGCAAATTGCGAAAGAACCTGGGAGAAATAGGGCTAGTTGTCCCGAAGGTTTCCCTTCTGTGTAGGCCCTTGCTGCTCAACGCCAAGATGGTCCCCCTCACCTTACCGAGCGTCTGCAAAAACCTGTTCCCTCCTCCTCCTCCTCCTCCTCCTCCTCCTCCTCCTCCTCCTCCTCCTCCTCCTCCTCCTCCTCCTCCTCCTCCTCCTCCTCCTCCTCCCCCCACTCCCTCTCCTCCTGCCCCTCCTCTCCCTCCTTCAATATCCCAGCCCCAGTTAGAGTCATCACCGCTGAGAGTCATACGTCGAGGCAAACGACCCATGTTATGGGCCCTTCTTGACTCATCAGAGGCTATCCCCGACACTGCGGCTGCTGCTGCTGCCACTGCCACAGACGCTATGTTCCTTGCACCTCCCTTTATCCCCTCCTTCACGTTCAACACCCTTTCTTTGATCCCTTCCCTAACATTCAACGCCCCATCCTTAATTTCTTCCTTGACGTGCAACGCCCCTTCCTTCACTTCTTTCTTGAAATGCAACGCTTCTTCCTTCACTTCTTCCTTGAAATGCAACGCCCCTTCCTTTACTTCTTCCTTGAAATGCAACGCCCCTTCCTTAATTCCTTCCCTGACATTCAATGCCCCTTCTTTAATCCCCTCCCTCACGTTCAACGCCCTTTGTTTGATCCCCCCTGCCACATTTACAGCCCCACTGGCAATCTCCCCAGCTGCTGCTGCCAGGGAGTGACATAATCGCACCCTCCTCCTCTCCTCCTCCTCCTCCTCCCCCTCCTCGGTCCCTATGCCCGGGATCTCCCAAAGTAGCATCATGGCCTCTTCCCTTGCAGATATCATCTCCCCGCCCTTCTTCCCTTCCTCCTCTCCTTCCTCCTCCGCATCCTCCTCCTCATCCCCCTCCTCTCCCTCACCCTCCATCCCACTTCGATCACTCGTCCAATCAATCTTCCCTATTATCTCTCCCTTCTCCTCTCCTCCAATTCCCACACTCTTGCTGTCAAAACTGCTGCCTTCAGATGGGCGGCGTCGAGCAGCATTTAGCCGGGAAAGCATGCATGGTTTGGCCGGCGTCAGTACCGGATTCAACCCCTCAGCACCATACCCATCCACCTCACCACCCTGCCCTTCACAGCTCCCAACCATCTTCCCGCCAGCAGCAGCACCGCTCTGCTCTCTGCTCTCTGATCGCTGCTGCTCCAAATATTTGTTTTGCCTCTCTTCCTCCTCTATCTGCACCTCGAGCTGCTGCTCTAGCTTCTCCCACACCAGCTTACCCGTCTCCCTCTCCCTCTCCCCACCTCCTCCCCTTCCCGCTCTCAACCCCTCTGCACTGCACTCGTTCACCTTCGCCCTCCTCCCCTCCAATCCCTTCTCTTCCTCCTCCTCTCGCTCTCTCTCTTCCACGTCCACCTTTCTCTCCTTTCGCACTCTCTCCCCTTTTTCAGGCCTCAGGACATGCCCTCTATTTGAGAGCTCTCTACGTTCCATCCTTGACAGTTCAGAGTATTTCGCCAGAGGAAGGTTTGCACGAGGAGGCAATGGGGGTTCTGGCGAAAAACACGTCTCAAAGAGGAACTGGGAAACCTGAGGACGCACCTGAGCACGCACCTCAGAAAACACCTGAGGGTGGACCTGAGTGTGCAGAAAAGCGCTAGCGCCTGAAATGGTTGCTGCTGCAGAGGTAAGATTAGAATCGGAAGCAGAGGAGTGTCCACCAGAAAAAGAGCCAAAATGCATCCTTTCAGCACTAGAGCCGCGCGAGCGATGATGGGAAACGTGCCTGCTGCGGCTGGGGCCTGAGGAGGCACCTGGCGAAACACCTGAAGATGCACCTGGAAACTCACCTGAGGCATCTGAGGGGGTAGCTGGCGAGGAGAAACGAGGACGGAGCTCTGAATGATGGCGCCTGTTGAGAGTGGAATGTGCACTCATACTGCGGCTATGACTTGGTCTCGGTGGCTTTCCCTGTGAGTGTTTCACCTGCTGCTTCACCTGCTGAATCACCTGCTTCTGATCCTGCTCCTGTTGCTCATCGGTCTGCTGGTCTGTCAGCTTATCTGCATTCTTATCTGTTTGCTGATCCATTTGAATTTCATCGCAGCTCTGTGGCTCCTCCTTCTCCCCCTCCTCCTTCTCCCCCTCCTCCTTCTCCCCCTCCTCCATCTCCCCCTGCTCGTTCTGCTGTTGTGACAGGAGCCCCTTTCCCTTCACTCTCTCGGCCCACTCCTCCTCCTCGTTTTCATCCTCCTGCTGCTCGGTCTGCTGATGAGGATGATTTTTTTTCCCCTTCACTAGGTCAGCCCACTCGTCCTCCTCGTTTTCCTCTTCCTGCTGCTCGTTTTGCTGATGAGGATGAAACTTCTTTCCCTTCATTTGCTCGGCCCACTCCTGCCACCGCTCTTTGGAGTGCGTTCTACTAGACGCAGACCCAGCTTGAGGAGAGGAAGCGGCACCAGAGGAAGCCGCAGCGGCTGCAGCTGCAGCGGATTTGAGGGATGCCAAGCAGCGGATGCGGGCAATTTCTCGCTTGAACTGCGGGAAGGAGGTGGTGAGATCAACTGCATGTCGCTGCGCAGATGGCCCGAGAGAGGAGGCCCTTTCCTCTCGGGGAAGACAGGAGCGGAGAGGGGAGGAAGAGGAGGAGGAGGAAGGGGAAGATTCTGCCGAGAGGGAGGGAAGGGAGCACGGAGGAACAACAGGTAGGTCATGTGGTTCTGAATCAGTCGCCTGCTGTGTCTGTGTCAGCTGCGGCTCCTGCTGTGTCTGCTGTTTCCTCTGCTCCGTCTGCCCTACTTCTCCGCCATGACAAATGATTCTGAACGGCTGCTGCTGTTCTTCGGCTGAACGGTGCGAAGATTCTTTCGGAGACTCCGACATTGTGCGATTCTGGCTGGGCTTAAAGGTGACAGGATCAGGGGGGCATGGGTGAGAAATGATCATAGGCATTAGAGTACTTGGCTTTAAAAATATAAATAAGGGGGGCTTCGTGAGTTGCAGGCAGAAATGCGCCGTTCGATTGTCAACTTCAAGTTGATCGAGTCCCCACCCACTTTCTTGTTCCATAATGTTTCAGGAAACGTGTGCGGCTGGCCTGTAACAGAAACGTGAACGACGACAATCCTCGACACGCTCAAAAACAGTGCTCAGGCAGATCTGCCTCACGAACAGCGTTTTGGTCAAACATTGGGTTTTGAGGGTGAGATGAAATAAGGACGCGTCAATTCCCTTCTCGTTAAGGCAATCGAAACTGCGCAGGTTAGTATTTTGGCGGGATTAAAAAAGTTCGAGAAAGTTGTGGTTACCACAATCACGAATTTAATGCGGTGGAGGATCGAGCGTGCAAGATCCATCACCAAAATGAGGTGTAGTTGACCCGTCCTAATAACTCCCAAAACAACCAGGCAAGAAAAGGTCAGCCCTGCCGCGGGAATTCCAATGGTTGACCTTGGTGCCTTGATTAGCTGGGCAACTCTCAGGGCGCGAACGTGGTTCTCCGCCGGCACCCTAGCCAATCAAACAAGAATTTAGACCAGCTGCGCTCCCAAGACCACAGTTGACCGAACAGCAGACAACGACGTAGTGTGCTGTTCCCTTCCAATTCCAGGGTGAGGGATGTGCTGTTTTGTGTACAATTCCCTTCCATGCACACCCACGGCTTGAGATGTAAATATGTGTAACAAACTACAAAAATATATGGAAACATCCATAGAATCTATACATTTGACAACTCTCCCACATCAGCAAACCCTTGCACGCAATATGCTTGTCTCCATATTGTATATGCGAATTAAGTTGTATACATTGCCTTTTTATGCAGAAAATCTCCTACATTTGTTACTACATAAAGAATTTTGTGTATAATATTACGAGCATTGCAGCGTTAGTTAGTCGGTGTGTAGTCCGGATCTTGATAAGGGTTGATCGCAAATAGTGCACAGCGGAAGTGTTGATGAGTGATGTTGGAATAACCGAAAGGTATTCGTAACATTCCCGAAGGCTCTTCACTCACGCGCCATTCTTTAATGAAACAACGCGACTATATCAATACCGCAATAGCTCATATAGAGCATGCGAAAGATCGAGAATCACCTGAAGGTCAACAGTCGAAGACAGTCAATGGTCGTGACTCATGACCGCTCAGTAACCGCACTTGGTAGTTACGCGATGCAACATGGTAATTGTCAAGAAGAGCAACAGTCGTTGTTACTATAGCAATGTAGTTCAGAAAGGAATGTACCCCTCAGAGTACATGGCTAGCTAAGATTGCTACTTATATCCTTGTACTCCTAGCTTATATTCATCTTGTTCTCTTTCAACCTTTATTATGAAGGTCACTACAAGACTACATTATCTTCTCTCAAACTTGACAAACTTTTCACATCTACTACAAAGCGTAGGCCGACTCGGCTGTTCCAGCACTGCGTGTGAAGAAATGAGGAGTAACTGGCTCCGCGGCTATAGACGAGCGGCAGGAGCAACGGACCCACTGGCGACTGGTGCAACAGGCTCACTGGCTACCGAAGCAAGGGCGACGGTCTACAGGCCCTGCAGGCGACACGACAGCTACCTTCACACAACCTCCTCCAGCTGCCCCACACCTCTCGACACACACCCCCTGCTCAAACCCTAGTTCTACTCCCAAAGCACCCCCCTTTCACACACCCCCTGCTGCACCCTAGGTTCACTCACACCCCACCCCCTAGCACCACTCCGTCGACTCCCACACACCCACCCCCCTCAGCGGTAGCTGCAGCTGTGGGAGACATAGGAGGAGGAGCAGGGGAGACCACACACCCGCCACCCCCTACTCGCCACCCCCAAACCCTAACACAGGGCAGGGCGGGATGGTGGTGCACGGGTCCCCGGTGCGCCGCGCCAGGCGACGGAGCATGGCAGGGGCGGTGCCAGGGCAGGGTCGGGGCAGGGCCTGGGCAGGGCCTCGACAAGGCCGCGACAGGGTCGATAGGGGCGACGACGGGGCCGTGAAGGGCGACGGGGTCGCTAGAGGCGGCGACGGGGCCGCGAAGAGTGGCGACGGGGCCACTAGGGGCGGCGACGGGGCCGCGAAGGGCGGCGACGTGGCCGCGAAGGGCGGCGACGAGGCCGCTAGGGGCGGCGACGAGATCGCTAGGGGCGGCGACGGGAGCACTAGAGGCGGCGACGGGGCCGCTAAGGGGCCGCGAGGGGCCTGGAAGGGCGGCGACGGGCCGCGAAGGGGCCGAGAAGGGCGGCGACGGGGCCGTTAGGGGCGGCGATGGGGCCGCGAAGGGGCCGCGAGGGGCCTAGAAGGGCGGCAACGGGGCCGCGAAGGGGCCGCGAGAGACCTGGAAGGGCGGCAACGGGGCCGCGAAGGGGCTGCGAGGGGCCGAGAAGGGCGGCGACGGTACCGCTAAGAGGTGGCGACGGGGCCGCTAAGGGTCGCGCGAGGGGCGCGCCACGGGGCGTGCAGAACACAGAGTAGAAGCGGAAGCAGTTAGGTGGGCCCACAGGCCAGGAGCGTAGATGCTTTGATAGCATGTGAAGAAATGAGGAATGAAGAAGAGAGGAGGTTGCACTAGCAGCAGTTGGCATACATATAGGAAACCCTAATTGGGTTGTACTCGCTATAGAGTACCCCACTGTAGGCCAGACAATTATAACATTATGACAGTGCGACGTTTGGTGAAACAGTGCGCGCAAAGTTGGCGAAGCCCCGTTACCAGGCCAGGGCGAACAACGGCTGCTGCTGTACGGGATGTTGCAGGTCGCGGTAAGAAGTGTCGAGAAAATTCCTTACTGTAACCAATAACCCCAAATTAAGAAACATATGTTTATCCTACATGTAAGAAATTACAGTTCCTAACCATGCTCTCACTTTAGCGGGTACAGCGAGGGTCACGCGTCAGCTGGCTCGGCTTACAAACCCGCCCCAAACCATTCCCGAGCCCTTCCTCCCCCCCCCTCCCCCCCCCCCCTTCTTCCACCATTCTCCACCCTTTCGAGCCTCATCTACCTGACAGTCAAATGTTAATTTATGCTAGTAGGCTACAGTGAGCAGCACAATAGGGAGTACAACAATTTTCTACTCCTCACATTCCTAGTCAATACATTTCGTTGTTCAACTTCTAAGATAGTATCAGAGCAGCGCGCCTCTTCAGAACAGCACGCCTCACCCTACAGAGCAACACGTGTCAAACATTTATGCTATAGTCTTTCTAGGCTGTACTGGGGTAGACAGTATGGGATACAGTTTTCTAGGGTTACATATTTGTACCCAATTCATTTCCTAGTTCATCATTCCTCATTCTCTTCACATGGTATAGAGCAGGTTGCCTAGTGGGAACGTTTCCTAAGGCCCACCATGGAATCGATTTTTTTTTTTTACCTGCCCGTAGCACGCTTCGCCTCTGCCCTAGTCGCGCCCCGTGTGCCTGCCCTCCCGTCGCGTCCCCTGCCCTTAGCGGCCGGTCGCGCCCTCTTAAGGCCCCGTCGCGGCCCCTCTCACGGCCCTTCGCAGCCCCTCTCATGGCCCTTCGCGTCCCCTCGCGGCCCCTCGCGGCCCCTTCGCCGCTCTTCGCGGCCCCTCGCGGCCCCTTCGTGGCCCCTCGCGCCCCCTTCTCGGCCCCGTTGCCGCCCTTCGCGGCCCCTCGTGGCCCTTCTCGGCCCCGTCGTTGCCCTTCGCGGCCCCTTCACGCCCCTTCGCGGCCCCTTCTCGGCCTCGTCGCCGCCCTTCGCGGCCCCTTCACGGCCCTTCGCGGCCCCTTCTCAGCCCCTTCGCCGCCCTTAGCAGCCCCTTTGTGGCTCCTCCACAGCCCTTCGCGGCCCCTCCTCGGCTCTTCACGGCCTTGCCGCCCCGCCGTCGCCGCCCCAGCAGCAGGTGCCGTCGCGCCGTGACAGCCGCTGCCTTCTGTGCCGTGGTCGCAGCCGCCGCCGACAGCAGCAGCCGCCGCCGCCGCTGCCGTGACAGCCGCAACCGCCGCTGCCGGGGCCGCAGCCACCGCCGCCGCCGCCGCCGACAGCAGCACCCGCCGCCGCCGTCCCGGCCCTGCCCTGCAGCTAAGGCGCGGCTCTCCTCTGCCGCCCTGTCGCGGTCCTGTCCCTGCCAGCGCGCCTCGGCCCTGCCCCACCACTTGCGGACCTCTACCCACCCGCCCTCGTAAGAGCACCGCCGAGACGCGCCTCTGCTACTAAGCTGCTCCTAGCCTGCCACTGTTGTTGCTAGCCTTCTGCTGCTGCTTTCATGGCTACCCCTAGTGTTCTCACCTTTGATGCTGATGGTCGGGCTGTCGACTTTGAGGTCTAGGTCGATGATCTGCAGCTTTTCCTACAGCGAGATAGGAAAGACGGTCTCTCACTGTTCGATCTCGAGTCTGGTGCCTCTGCTGCCCCTGCTGCCGATGCTAATAGCACGGTTCGCTCAAAGTGGGCCACACGCGATGCTGCTGCCCGTCTTGCTATGCGAATTCCCTTGCCATCCACTGAGCGCGCCCACTTTAGTCAGTTGAAAAGTTCTAAGACCTTGTACGACGCTGTAGTTTCACGCTACTCTTCCCCTGCCACTGCAGCACTTAGCCGCCTCATGCTACCGTACCTCTTCCCTGACCTTGCTGCCTTTCCCAAAGTCGCTGACCTCATCACGCTCCTCCGCACTAGTGACACTCGCTACCGCGCTGCGCTTCCTTCTGAGTTTTGCGCCAAGAACCCCCCCCCATGTACATCACCCTCTACTATCTAGTTACCCGGCTCCCTGACTCCCTTCGCTCGGTCAGGGACCACTTCTTCTCTGTTTGTCCCACCATACTCACCGTTGACCTCCTCGAGGAGCGCCTCCTGGTAGCTGAAAAGAGTATAGTTGCTGTAGGAGCCTCTCGTGGTGACCCTCGTGCCCCCTTCTTTGA